GTAACAGTGGTTAACTAAATGGTAAAATTATAGGTGACTTTCACTTTGTTCCAGTCAAGAGTGAGTTCCCATCTAAGAAAATCTGTCCTTCAGTGACTGGATCAAGGGTGGGCATCAGACCCAAGGACAGTCTGGCAAGAAAAGCTGTGCCCAAAAAGGGATGAGCCATGACAAATTAGTGTCTCTCTCATGGTCTTATCTAAAGCAAACAGGACAAATCAGATATTTGATGATAGAAGAAGAAATGGATGGAGCCGACCCACTGAGGTGAGGGTGAATAAAACACTGATTTTGAGGGAATACTAAGATGAACTCTGCCTTGGTTGCTAAACTTCCTTCTAATTCTTGTGTCTGTTAGGACATTTAATACTGTGGTGCATGCTCTCAAACTCTCTTAGTGCCCTGGGCATTCCAGCAATAAACTCTCATTTCTGGAGGGCCTTTCAACCATGAGGATAATTAACACAACTACTAAAATGAAACACTGTTTGGGGCATATAACTTTCCTGCTTAAGATCAAGTGCAGAAAAAACTTTTGATTAAATTAAAATTACAGGTAGATGGGCATTTCTTCAAATCATGGTAGTAGTGTAGTTAGGAAAGTTACTCAGGTGACCAGACACTGACCAGTACTAAACTCTGCTGACAGCACAAGTACAGACAGTTAATAAGAGTCCAGTGGATTTCCATCTTCTTTGAGAATAGCAGACAAAACATGGTTAAACAAAGCAAACATTTGCCGTCAGCTTTTTAAATAGTACATCACTCAAATTCCTAAAAACCTACATACAGAAAGAGGTTCTTGGGCCTTTGTTTTATTTTTAAACTTGTTTCCAAACAATTTTAATGATTTTCTAACACTTCAAAGTACCATAATTATTTTTTCCCATCTTATATGTATATGAGGTGGGGAAGAGAGGCAAAAAGAAAGCATCGTATGTGATCACCTGAGTGGTGCTCCCTTCCCCTTTTAAAATAGGAAAATAATGAAGAGGAATGCTTATTTCAATGAAACACTAAAAAAGAAATAAAGAAGGGAAGATAAAGGCAGAGATGAAAGGAGGGAGGAAAGAGTAAGGGAAGAAAAAAACATTTCCAAGGGGATAGTTGATTCCTTATGTGGCCCACACCTACAGCATTTCCCCTGTCATCTTCCCTGTGGTATGTGTCATATTACTGTGCTTCTCCATGGTATTCTGGTATTCTGGACCAGACAGCATTTTGTTCCATTGTACAAAGGGTCACTATGAGTGAAAGCCAACCTGATGGCACCTAACAACAACAGATGATATTCCACTTTGTCAAACAGATGACATTAAAAACAGGAAGGATATCTTTTTCATCTTAATAGTCTATCTAGTGTTCACTGCCTGTTTAAAATCAGGAAGGGTATGCATCTGGGTTGTATCTTTTCACTATACTTATTTATTATTCAATCTGTAGGGTGAGAAATAATATGAGAATCTGGACTATATGAAGAAGAACACCCCATCAAAATTTGAAGACTTGTTAATAACCTGAGATATGCAGATGACACAACCTTCCTTGCTGAAAGAAAAGATGACATGAAACACTTACTGATGAAGATCAAAGACTACAAACTTCAATATGGATTCCACGTCCACAACATAAAGAAAACAAAAATCCTTACAATTGGAACAATAAGCAACATCATGATAAATGGAGAAAAGATTAAAATTGTGAGGTATTTCACTTTAGTTGCATCCACAATCAATGCCCATGGAAGCAGCAGTCAAGAAACCAGATGTTGTATTGCACTGGGCAACTGTGCTGCAAAAGACCTTTTTAAAGTGATAAAGAGCAAAGATGTCACTTGGAAGACTAAGGTGCACCTGATCAAAGCCACGGTATTTTCATAAGCCTCATATGCATGTGAAAGCTGGACAATAAATAAGGAAGGCTGAAGAAGAATGGATGCATTTGAATTATGGTGTTGGTGAAGAATAGTGAAAGTACCATGGACAGCCAGAAAAATGAACAAATCTCTCTTAGAAGTAGGCTGGAATGGTCTTTAGAAGCGAGAATGCCCAGATTTTGTCTCATGTATTTTGGTTATGTTATCAAAAGGGGCCAGTCCCTGGAGAAGAATACCATGCTTGGTAAGGTTGAGGGTCAGTGAAAGAGGGGAAGACCCTCAATGAGTTGGTTTGACACATCTGCCTACAGTGGCTACAGTGGTCGGCTCAAGCATAGTAAAGATTGTGAGGATAGTGAAGGACCAGGTAGTGTTTCGTTATGTTATAAATAAGGTCACTATGAGTCAGAATTGACTTGAGGGTACCTAACAACTACAACAACAGTGTTCATTTAGGAGCCCTGATTGCACAGTGGTCAAGGACTCAGCTGTTAACTAAAAGGTCAGAAGTTAGAACCCACCAGGCAGCCTCATGAGAGAAAGATGTGGCAAACTGGTTCCATAAAGATTTTACAGTCTTGGAAACCCTGTAGGGCAGTTCTACTCTGTTCTATTGGATCTCTATGGGTCGGAATTGACTCTGTGGCAATGTAGTGCTCATTTAACAGAGTACTTTAAATGGAGAGGCGATATTAAGCATGGGCCTAGTTACTGAAAATAAAACTATTTAACGCAGATTTTAAAACTAATTCATATATGATGGCAACACAACCAGCACTTTCATTCTGCCTGGCAGATCCTAATTTCCAACAATTTATAAATGAATGAAACCTAGAAGTTGCTTTAGAAATCCTCCAGTTCATACCCCATTGGGGCCCTAAAAAGACAGGGGCCCAAAGAGGCAAAGAGGCCTGACCAAAGTCACCATTTAGAAGTAGGCATAAGAATAAAAACCTAGTCTCATGATTCTTGGTACTCTTTCTTATATATAATGCTTGTGGTGAGTCCTACAGCTCTAGAAAAATCTAAAATATTAATATTTACATTATTTCACAATCACACACAGTCTGTAGTAGAAGATGTACAGAAGATTCTTTTAAGCATGTAGCCAGTATCATTGGATATTCTGGAATGATCTTTCCTCACCAATGGATTCTTTAAGCTATATAGTTTATCATGCCTTGGTAACATATGTTTTCACATCATAGATGACATCTCTTTAGTCCTTGATTTACTTAGAATGGTTTTTCTGTTGGCTGGCATTTTTCTGTTCCAGATGTAACCTCTGGGAACCCAGATCATTCACTTAGCAGACAGAACCAAAGATGGGAGAACCAAAGCTTTAAGATCAGTTGTTTCAAAGATCCACACTTACTGACTTTCTGATGTAAAGGTCTCTGAAGCTACATAAGTAACTGCTAGACCTTTGCTGCTTAATTACCTGTATGGTTTCTGTCCTTCATTTCTCATTGCCTCCAGTATCTCTAATGGACATTCAGATTCTCATAGTAATATGGATTTTGCTCCCCATGAGAATATTAGCAAATTTTCCAAAAGACAATACAAAATCCTGAAAAAGACCTTAATGTGGAAAGACCTTAATCTACAAACCAAGCACAACTTTTTTTTCAACTGGTCAGTGTCTGTTACAGTGTTTGCTGTCATGATTTTTTGACAGTGACTTAATGTGACAATGTCAGGCCTCCTATAAGTAGAAATTTTGTCTTGTGGTCCTTTTCTTTGCATAGTTGTTACTTACTAAGCAGATGAATAAAAAAAGCCAGTGCTTTTCCATGGGCTTGCCAACAGAGAAAGGAAATAAAAAAGGAAACTGGTCTGTGGCTGAACTTCCAGGTACTTTGAGAGGCTGTGAAGTTTGATGTTAGAACACTAATGTTGAACAAGCTATATTTATAAACCTAAATTTATTCCATCAAATAAGAAGCTCTCCATTTTTCCGCAATCTTCCATCTCCCATTTTAATTCTGATTAAATCAGCTTAAAGTTAAGGGAATAATAGCAGTTAGCAGTAAGTCACTAAAAAAAAAAAAAAGTGTATCTTCTGGTAGGGGGATTGCACAATTCTTATTTTTATCTTTGTGTCTTTGTTATAAATTTCTATGAGAACATACAACTTTCGTGATTCAGGAAAAAAAGTAAAATTTAAACCACAACAGATTTATAACCTCTACCAAACCAAAAACCAAACTCACTGCCGTCCAGTTGGATCCGACTCATAGTGACCCCTCCAAGGGTTTCCAAGGTGGTATCTCTACAGAAGTAGATTGCTCAATTTTCCTTCGAGGTGTGGCTGCTGGGTTTGAACAACCAGCCTTGTGGTTAGCCATCAAGTGTCTTAGGCACTGTGCCACCAGAGCTCTAGTCTAACAAAATTTGGCTGCAAAATAAAAAAACTGCAAAAATTTTTAAAATAATAAAAGTAAGCAAAACACAACAACAATGCAATGCAGTGCCATCAAGTTGGATCCGACTCATAGTGACCCCTCCTTGGGTTTCCCAGGTGGTATCTCTACAGAAGTAGGTTGCCCAACCTTCCTTCCATGGGGTGGCTGGTGGGTTTGAATCACCAGCCTTCTGGTTAGCAGTCAAATGACTTAGGCACTACACCACCAATGAGATGGATTGATATAATAGCCACAACAGTGAACTCAAATTTTAAAAAATAAATTAAATTTAAAAAAAAAAGAAATTGGCCATTGGGGGGGAAAAAATAAACTACACTGAATGGATTCTGATTCATAGCAACCCCCATTGGGTTTCCGAGGCAGTAAATCTTTATGCAGGTAGATTCCCCAGTCTTCCTTCTGCAGAGTAGCTGTGGGTTTCAACTGCCAACCATCCATGGTCAAATGCCTTAGGTACTACGCCACCAGAGTTCTTTTAAGTACTTAAGTAGAAGGGAAGAGGCCCAATTCCTCTGGCTCTGAAAACACAAGGGAAGGATTTATGTGTTGGACGTATCAGTGTAGAGGGTAACTCAAAGTTCATAGTTGTTTTAGTATCTGCTGTCGAAGCCTTACCTTTCTCCCCAAGGAGTTATCTTTCTCATAGCAATTTTAGGGGTTTCAAAAGTATATAGCCTTCAGTAGTAGCCCAAATTTACCATAATCCAGTAAGGACAATATCTACTGAAATAATATCATCTGTTACCTTCCAGTACATGAGGAGGAGACTCTTGTTGGTCCATACTACAGCTCGGAAGCCTCTCCTCAGCTCTGTTAACTGAATGGTAACCCCTGCAAGAATGAAAAGACATTGTTCAATCACTGCCACACACATTTCAGTGAGATAAATGTTCATTAAACTTGTAACGGGTACTCTGCAGATAACCTTGAGGAAATGTAAATTTTCAATAATAGTCATCATTTAAATACTTATCACCTTATTAGCCACAAATATTTGTGAATCGTCCTTGATTTTTGAAAACAAGAGAATTTTCAGTGTCAGCCTGACTTCACCTTGAGTTGTAGCCAGAAGTTTATTTTGCAACTTGAATTCATGGGCCAAACCCCTCCCAACGAAACACCCTCTTAAATATTTAGTCCTTGTTTAATCTCATACCGTATTCTTAAGGAGAAAAATCAATATATAAGTAAAATATTTTTCTTCCTCTTCTTTTTACCTAAACCTTTACTAGCTTTAGATGAAGTAACTGTTGAGAATAAAAAATAAAGTTAACCATTTTCTTAATTTCTTTTGAGTAATCATATAACCAAATTCTAGTCTAGGTCTCTGTTTTTTAAGCTTTTTTCATTTCTTGCTTCACTACATGATGTAAGTAAAACCAAATTGGAGAATAAGTGTTATACAGGCTATACTATGAACATGCTATGAAAATGTTGGTGCCTAATTCTTGAGCAGGTCATCCTATTAGCAAATTTCTCTATTTTACTAGTGTTTGACCACCAAACACATACCTGGGGTTCTGCTAGGATGAGCAGATAAAAAGTAAAAATTTCTAAAGTAAACTGGTTACTTTGTAAAGGCAACTTCCCACATTCTCTAATGATCACAGATGGCATGAGCACCACCACTTCTCAGGCACAGGGAAGGCTTCAGTGTTGTGTATTTTAGCCTTCTAAGAATAAAGAAAAAGTACAACAGGGGCACACGGAATGATAAATAGCTAGTAAGTTTCAACTAACTTTCCAGCACCTCATCCAACCACCACCAGGCCTGTCCACACCCAGAATTATCATCGTCTTCATGTTCTCATCAATATTGAAAACAAGACTGAAAAATATGACAACATTCTGGCAGGCAAGGCTGGACTTTATCTGCATCCACACAGGATGCCAAAAAATCCATCTGAGAGATTTTTTAAAAAACTTAATTAACAGAACTGGCTGATGATTTTGGCCCTTACAGGAAAGAAAAACAAAACATTGCTCTCAAATTATGATCAGCTGGTAATATTCATGCTTGGTCAGTCATTGGCTGGGCCAAAGTAGGGTTTAATTTTCACCAGTCTTAGGTACATTTACATTATAATTTCATTTTGTTCAAACTCCCATGTGATCATCAAATATTTTCTCTTCCCTCTGCTTCTGCTTGCCCTGCTTTCATTGGCTGAAATGATTTGCCCTACTTTCACTTCACCTGAGATGTTCTGAAACATCCTCAGACCACCAGAGCCGGATGCCATTACCTCCTCTGAACGACTGCAGATGAAATCACTCATTTGGTCCTTATCATTCAGTATTTTGTTGTACTAGTTCTTACATTCTATATTTATGTGACATCACCAACACAAAAATAAAATAGCCAAAAATTTACTGGGTGTTTTCATGAACAGCTGCTATGCAATAAGAATATGTTTGTCTTATTTGCTAATAATACCATATTTATCACAAGCCCATGAAGTAGGTACTCTTATTATTCCCATTTTCAAATTAAGAAACTAAGGCTTACAAGGCTTAAGAAATTTACCTAACGTTATAGGCAGACTTCTGGTAAGATGGTGTAATAGGCAGACAAGCGACACAGACCCTCTTCAACAAAGAAAAGAAAAACCAATTGACAGAGATACAGAAGATAATCCTGGAGCCCTGAGCTTTGAAAGGAACTATACACAAGTGGATTAGGCACCAACTAGTGGGAAAACCTGAACGAAAACAGTGAGTACAGAGATGGTCGGAGCTGTGGACTGTCAGCTACTCTGACGGGACCAACAGCCTGAATATTTCCAAGTGGTGCTGGGACCTAAGAATTGACCTAAAGATCAGCCCTAGTCACCAAGGGCTGCAGGGGCAGCTGCACTGGTGGTCTATGACTAGGAAGGGAAACATCAAGGAGGGAAACAACCTGAGCTGTTGACTTTCTGCTGTCCGGAGGGCACAGCCAGTTTGACTGTTTACATGTGGCAGCCATTTTGGATATTTAAAGTGACTGAGGGCACAGCCATTTTGAATTTTCACAAGTGGCAACCATTTTGGATTTTAAAGTGATAGCATTCTCAATCAGATTCCAGGGACCTAAGAATAGGTTCTGTTTGCCAAGGTCAGCAGGGACATACAAGAGGCTGACAAGAGGAAAGGAGACAAGTGGTGAGTGTATAAGTACTGTCAACTAGTGAATAGAGGAGCACAGCACAGTACCCTGCTTGCACAGATAACATACAAACAAAATAAAGAAAATGAAAATCGTGGGCAAGTCACTCTAACATAAAATCACCTGTTAAATATAAACACAAAAATGTCACAATGCCTCAGAGACAACAGAGCATCACAGTCCACACAAAGAAGCAAGATAAAGCAGGAGAAAAAAGGGACCAGGATACAGACCCATAACACATCCCTGAGGAAGATTCAGCATTGGAACTCCCAGATAAAGAATTCAAAATAATTATATTAGGTATCTTCAATGAATTGAGAGACAGGTCAAGGAAAACACAGAGAAAACCCTAGAAAAATTTCAAAAGACAATATAAGAACAAAATGACAAAATAAATGAAAAATTAGAAATGATACAAAATCTACACACAGTAATCCAGAAGATTAATACTAAATTTTCACAAATAGATAAGACTTTGAATGCACAAAGGAGCAGAATTGAATCAATGGAAGACAGAATTAGGGAGATAGAAGGCAAATACCTGAATACTTATTTGGAAAGGGATCAATCAGAAAAAAAGAGCAAAACAAAATGAAGAAAGCCTAAGGTTCATGTGGGATACCATCAAAAGGAATAACCTATGTTTAATCAGAATTCCAGAACAGGAAGAGACAAATAAAACCCCAGAGAAAACTGTTGAAGATTTATTGGAAGAAAATTTTCCTGGTATGATGAAAGATGAGAATATATCCATTCAGCAAATCCAATGAACCCCAAACAGGATAGACCCCAAAAGAAAATCACCCAGGCATCCATCAAACTCACCAAAACCAAAGACAAAGAAAGAGAGCAACACAGGAAAAACAAAAAGTTACCTACAAGGGGCAACCAATAAGACTAAGCTCAGATTTCTCAACAGAAACCATGCAGGTGAGAAAACAATGGGATGGTTTATATAAAACCCTGAAAGAGAAAAATTTCCAAGCAAGAATTATGTACCCAGCAAAACTGTTCATCAAATATGATGGTGAAATTAGGACATTTTCAGATAAGCAGAAATTAAGAGAATTTGTTAAAACCAGACCAACCTTACAAGAGATGCTAACAGGAGTTCCTTGGACAGAGAAGCCACAACAGCCGACAACAACTGATGATTAGCACACATGATGATATAACCCAGAAACCAACCCAGCTACGGAAGTATCCAAAGTAAATAAGCCTACAAGATTATAAACAGGGAACCAGAGACATCAGTGACAAAGGAGGACAACTACAAACCAAAAAGAGGGAAAAAACTGTCATTACAGCATTTCTAGATGGTAGGGAAGTCAAGACAACTACAAGATAGAACAGACTGTTCTAAACTTGGGAAGAAAACTATAAATCACAGGGTAACCTCAAAGAAAAATGATAAACCTTCATAACAAAATAAAAAAGAGGGCCAGCATAAATATTCAGCAAATACTAAAACAATAGCAATAAAGGAAGTGATAACACGATTCATAAACAAAACAAGCTCAGCATAGAAAATTATATGGAACAAAAAAATCAACACCATGAAAAAGCACATAACAAAAATGACAGCAACAAATTCTTATTTGCTGATAATTACATATCTGGCAAGGGATTTATTTCTAGGATTTATTTCTAAGGTTTATAGAAAACTACAATGCCTCAACACCAAAGGAATTAACAATTCAATTGAAAAAAGGGCAGAAGACATGAATGACACTTCACCAAGGAGGATATTCAGGTGGCCAGCTAATACATGAAGATATGCTCACAATCACTGGCCATCAGAGAGATGTAAATCAAAACAACAATAAGATACCATCTTACCCCAGCACTGATGGCAAGGTTCAATGAGACAAAATAACAAATGCTGATGGGGATGTGGAGAGATTGGGATTCTCATACACTGCTGGTGGGATGTGAAGTGATACAACCACTGTAAAAAGCAATATGGCAATTCCTTAGAAAGCTAGAATTGGAGATACCATTTGACCCAGCAATCCCATTCCTAGAGAGGTGAGAGCCAGGATAAGAACAGATATATGCACACTCATGTTCATCACAGCACTATTTACAATAGCAAAAAGATGGAAACAACCTACGTGCCCATCAGCAGAAAAGTGGATGGCCAAACTATGGTACATACACATAATGGAATGCTATGCAGCACTATAGAATATAGACTCTGCAAAACACCGCATACTATGGATGAACTTGGAGGACATTACGCTGAGTGAAATAACTCAATCACAGAAGGACAAATATAGTATTAGTTCATTGTTGTTGAGGGTCAAGGAAAGGTCTTTATATAGAGGGAAACTTTCTTTGTTGGTTGCCAGAGGTGGGAGGGGAGGGGAAGGAACATGGCCAAAAAAAAAAAAAAAAAGCATTGACCCATGTCACTTTAGTTTTGTGTATTTCACTGTACATAAATTATATTTCAATAAAATGCAGTAAAAAGAAAGAAAGAAAGAAATTTACTTAAGATTATAGTTACTTGGACGGTGCATAGTTAACGCATTTCCTAACAGAAAGGTTGGAGGTTTGAGTCTAGCCAGAGGTACCTCAGAATAAAGGCCTGGTGATCTACATCCAAAAAACCAGCCACTGAAAATTCCACAAAGCACAATTCTACTGTGGCATAGATGGGAATGCCATGAGTTGCAATCAACTCAATAGCAACTAGTTTATAGAGTCACTTAAGGGTAGATGCCTAGTACTAGAACCTGAATTTTAACCATTATAACACAGCACAGAGACTAACAGAACAGACAATGGAACTAGAATGCTGGAGTTGGGAATCTCTGATCATTGCTCTGAGACCTGCGCATAGGGATGAATTGCCTAATAAGCGAGATAAGCACACGCTTAGGGCATCAACAAAACAGGGGTACCAGTTGTTCAAAGCAAGGAACAACAGATATGAAGCTGACAGACACAAGGAAAAGTGAGTGATGCAGTGGAAAGGAACTGGCAGAGCACTAAATGAAAATGGTACCATTTTACAAATTTTGTATACGATAACAATCACATTTTTCTTTTCATTTTGGACGTATCGGGTATAACCTCACATTCAGTTATCTCTCCCTCACTACATAAGAACGCACAAAGAGCACCATAATCATGTGACTCATGATGTATCTAGTTCAGCACAAAGCAAACCAAAATGCATCTTCAGATTGAGCATACTGTTGTATTTGTATCACACCCTGCAATTGCTCTCACCCTAAGTAGCAGTAGTCCAATGAACTATGAAACAGCACCATTACAGGATGGAAAATGAGTGCATAAGTTTCTAAGTATTGTTTCAAGAAAAAAAAAAATCATAGAGATCTGTGAAGGGACTGCCAACAAATACTGTACAACAAATGAATGAAATTATTTCCAACTGCCTTGTAAGTACTATTTCTTTTGACTATCTCAAAGAATAAAATTACATGTTTCAAATCAGTCTTTT